AGTGGGTGTGCAGGAAGAGAGAAGGAGGGCGAGGGGCGCGATCGAAAGTAAGCTGCTGAGAAATCACAGCAAGCTTTTTGAGAAAGCCCACGACGTGGCAGCTGTGAGTGAACAGAGTCAACCGGTGGCCTCCTCCCCGCGGTACCCGCTGGACACAGTAGTCAGTTTCCTATTTTGCTGTGACTATAAAGGCCACCGGTATAGAATCCTTCCAGACACGTTGTCTGGGAGGTGGTGACATTTTTACAGTCATGAATAATCTTTCGGGCATTTTTTCAACTTTCTTATCTTTTATTTCAAATTTGATTTTACTACTTATTTGATATGAATTACCTAAAAGATTGGCAGCAATTTTCTCATTAGTTGCTGGGGGTACCATCTGTATTCTTAATCATATTTGTTTTTTCAGTTTGTCACTGGGATCTGTCAATTGTTTTGCCAAATGCCAAAGTTTTGTATTTGGGTTTCTTAGGTTCAGGTTTTCTCAAGTTTTTTTTCCATTTTTCCCTTTTCACATTTACGTATGATCTTTTTATTTTTGCATTCACAATGTTCAGTTCAGTTCTACAATTTGTTCGGTTTGAGTGCACCTTTTTGTAGTTCATTTCTTTTAGTTATAAGTGTTTGAATATTTTTTGTCTGGTGTGTATAATTTGGAATCCATTTCTTAATATCACCTATTGGTATTGAAACTCTGGCTGCTTTATTAATGGTGTTTTTGAAAGATATTCAATTAGCCTTTTTGAAGTTCCAGAATTTTTCTTAATTGAGCTGGTTTGGGTCTTGGTGCTAATTTCTATCAAATTAGGCAAATGGTCACTTCTAATACTTTTTAATTATTTGCCATTTGCATTTGTAGAAAATGTCAGGATAGTAAAAACTTATATCAAGTGCTTGTGCAGTGGTATAACTAGGATCAGACATGACGTGGCCACGCAATAATATTTGAAACGAAGGCGATAAAAACGTGGTGATATTCTTTTTAAAAGAAAATCACCACGTTTTAATCGCCTTCGTTTCAGTAGTATAACTGTAGGAATGATGGGTAGGAATCCCATCATTTAAGCACATGAAGGCATTGTCGTTAAATATGTTTGATAGTATTTTGCCCCTTGGGTTTGGCGTGGAACATCCCCATAGTTGATGTTCGGCATTAAGGTCACCTACAATAATAGTGTTGTCTGTAAGAAATTGAGCCATTTTTCCATCGTCAATAAGTTTATTGTTTGGAGTGATACATATTGTATATGTTGATGGCTTTGTTTTGATTGTGGTAGACTTTGATACCTAGGGCTTCGAGGCCTGATGTGTTTGGAATATTAACGGCTATGTCCTCATAGTCATGGAACACACATCAAAATCAAAGAAGGAGCAGGACAGATTTCGTCAAACTTCACTTTTGAACTAACAGCTATCTGGAAAGCCCTTGATGTATGCCTTAATCAACCAATCCCTGCATCAAGCAGAAGGAATTTTAATATACTGCGACTCCATATCCACTCTAGAAGCAATTAAGAAGGGCAATACTAAAATCACACAGAAAATACACTCGTTACTTACCCAACTGGAATCAGTGGAGAAGAACTGCATTCTACAAAGGATTCCTGCCCATGTTTGGATCGGGGGTAATGAAATGGCATTTGAATTGGCAAAGGAAGCCAGAAAGTTGAGCCAAAGGAAAGAACAAATGTCATTATTTGACGCTGATGCTTTGTCAAAATACAAGATAATTAAACATAAAATAAGAAAAGATCAAAATGCGAAATAAACTCTGAGAGAAAAATGACAAAAACTATAACAAGACTTAGAACAAAACACTATAAAGGAATAACAATACATCCAGATGGCACAAGAACCTATAGTGCATGCAACAACTGTCTTGGTTTGGAACTAACACCTACCCACATATTCTCATACCCAGCAATGACCGCAGCCTTGCAGAAAATTGACATAGACCCAGAGCAGCAGCTTTACACACCCTAGATAGTGGACATTGCTGCTGCTGCTGTGATAGAGATGCATGGAGACATCTGAGGCTCTTTATTGGACACGACAACAACAACAGCATTCCAGTGTAAAATAAATTATCAGAGATAGATACATATTTTTCAAATGAATTAAAATAAATATAATCGATACTGAGAGAGAGTTGAATTAAAAAATTTAGAAATGTATTATCTTCGAAAACACAAACCGTATCTAAAATATAATTATTTTTTTTTGCTACATGTTTAATTTGCATTTACCTATTTTACATATCTCTGATTGTATTTAAAAATCGTCAACCAATTCTTCTACCTTTGGCGAAGTGGTGTTTTATTAATTTGTTATTTGATATTATTAGGGTTCTTTCCTGGTATTCAAAAAGGAAAAATACGTGTCGATCAGTTATATTTTTCAATATATCAAACAATTTGGCCGCTGAATCTCTGATTCTGGTAGAGCGCCATCTGGCGAATAAAATTGTAACTAAAATAAATTTCGCATTTTTAATTATTTGCCATAAGAAATCCCATTGCATCCTGAACACAATGGTGTTTACCGCATTGCTCTAGCGCAAATATTCGCGGAGTTATTAATTTTTAAAATAGTATTTTTGGTTTTTTATTTTTTAAAAAAAGCACATTAACTTTTTTAGTTTTTTTGAATAGCCTATATGTTAAACGAAATCTTCAGCTACCTACATGCGAAATTCCATAATGATTGAGTCAGTAGATTTTGCGTGATGCGATAACAAACATCGATTTCGCATTTCATTTTTATATATATAAGGATAAGGATAATATAAATGAGTTTTAAAAATTGTTTTAAAAAAATGCATCGGCCGGGAATCGAACCCTGGCCGCCCGCGTGGCAGGCGAGCATTCTACCACTGAACCACCGATGCTTTAAAAAAATCAAATTCATTTATCGTCGCGACCAGTGCTGCGCCCTAGCGGTAAAAGACTGGAACTAACGCTTTTTGGTTTTTTATATTTAAAAAAAAGCACATTAACTTTTTTAGTTTTTTGAATAGCCTATATGTTAAACAAAATCTTCAGCTACCTACATGCGAAATTCCATAATGATTGAGTCAGTAGATTTTGCGTGATGCGATAACAAACATCGATTTCGCATTTCATTGTTATATATATAAGGAAGGAAGGAAGGATAAGGATAATATAAATGAGTTTTAAAAATTGTTTAAAAAAAATGCATCGGCCGGGAATCGAACCCTGGCCGCCCGCGTGGCAGGCGAGCATTCTACCACTGAACCACCGTTATCGTCGCGACCAGTGCTGCGCCCTAGCGGTAAAAGACTGGAACTAACGCTTTTTGGTTTTTTATTTTTTAAAAAAGCACATTAACTTTTTTAGTTTTTTGAATAGCTTATATGTTAAACGAAATCTTCAGCTACCTACATGCGAAATTCCATAATGATTGAGTCAGTAGATTTTGCGTGATGCGATAACAAACATCGATTTCGCATTTCATTTTTATATATATAAGGAAGGAAGGATTTACTCTTCATTGTTGGCTTTTTATCTTACATTCATTCTTCATTGTTGGCTTTTTATATTATATTTACTCTTCATTGTTGGCTTTTTATCTTACATTCATTCTTCATTGTTGGCTTTTTATATTACATTCACTCTTCATTGTTGGCTTTTTATCTTACATTCATTCTTCATTGCTGGCTTTTTATATTACATTCACTCTTCATTGTTGGCTTTTTATATTACATTCACTCTTCATTGTTGGCTTTTTATATCATATAGAAAATCATAGTTTTATCTAGTGAACATTTTTTCCCGTGTCACATTGCCGTGTCATCCTGAGATAATCTTACTTTTGATAAATAATATTTAAGATAACAAACTTGTGGTGATAAGAAAACTTGTTATCATCGTCACAATGGGGGCGCTGCTTGCGAGTTAAATCTACAAATCTGCAAATAACTCTAAGGATATTCAAGATATTCATGAAATTATATTTCAAAAACCTTCCCGGTGATATACCTAATAATATCCCAAAATTTCACGGCGATTGGATGTATGGTTTTTGAATCTATAGAGTACAAACAAACAGACAGACATTCAATTTTATATATATAGATTATTAGGACATTGTGATAAATATTTAAAATGTATAATTTTTTTTATATTTAATTATCAAGAAATTGGGTTGGCCAAATATCAGGGAACAGGCTAAATCAATGTTTAGTTGATTTCTGTTCCACCAGATGGCGCTCTGCCTTCTGTAAAGCACATGTGCTCCTGGTCAGGATATGCCATTTTTATTTTTGATTTCAACACCTGACTTTTTTATCTTTTTTTTTTTTCTCGTTTTTTCATATAAATATATATATATACTAGAAGAATGACCCGACTTCGCCCGAGAAATCCCCCGAGTGAAGTATCCTTCATACTGAAAGTACATCAATAATAAATAGTAGAAGTGTCATAGAATAGCAATACAGAAGAAAAACATAAACTACAGGGGAAAAAAGTGTGTAATGGCAAAAATTGTATTATATTAGTGTTTAGGTATTTGATTTAATTATTTTTGCAATCCATTTAGTTGTTTCAAAATTAATATAGTTTAAATAGACGGCAGCTTTTCCACCAAACCCCCATTAACCTTTGAAATTGCCTGAGTTGAGTGACTGACTGTAAAGAATCCTGACTGCGATGCCCATCTTCTCAGTAAGAATTTTTAAAAAATAGGCTTATGAAAAAATTAATCCAAAATACTGGCATGTAAATATTTTTCTGTAAAAAAATAAAAGGGCATATGGAAATATTAGGCAAACATATGTGTTCGCTAATGATTGTGACTGCATTTTAAACGATTTTTAAAAAGAGATTTAAACAAATAAAGGCCAGAACAAAAATTAATAAAAAATATGGAATCCATTATTTACATACATTCACCAAAGCAAACGATGACAGAATTGATGACTCTGATACTTGTATATTTCAATAATAATATAAATGAGTTTTAAAAGTTGTAAAAAAAAATGCATCGGCCGGGAATCGAACCCGGGGCGCCCGCGTGGCAAGCGAGCATTCTACCACTGAACCACCGATGCTTATAAGAAACTAGCCAAATGACCCGGGCAACGCCCAGGTTTTACCCGATTAAATGTTTTTATTCAAATACTATTCATTACAATTATAAATTGGCGCCGTGGATGTCACTCTTGTGAAACGTCCCGCTCCAAATTTGTGTCTGAGAAGCGATATTTTTATAAAGAGAAGATCTGGCTTTGTGTCTTCTGCTCGAATGAATGTTTTTCTGTTAGAATTTTGTTCCTGCACACTAAAAATGAACTGGCTTCACCCGTGGTCTCAGCTTTTTAGAATTTTTCCCGATATAATTTTGTAGCTGATAATCAAACATGATACAGCAATATTGTCATCATCATTTTCTGACTAAAAAAACAACTATTTTTGCACAGAACCTGTCAATTTTATTTTTTATTGGCTAAAAATCCGATAAATATATTTTCCAGATTTTTCTCTATGTCCTGTCAAAACACGTTTTACATGTACATTAGTTCAGCTGATATTGCCTCCCTTCTTCACCGCTAGAGGCGCTGCTTGCGAGCGAAAAGGCAAATTTGCAACGCAATTTGCAAATAACTCGAAGAATATTCGGAATAGAGACCTGAAATTTTCCCTATAGGTTTTTCCAGATTCTATTCTATATACTGTTAATATTTCAGTCATATTAGTTACGTATTGTGGACGTGTATAGCCGACATAGATACCCACATACATACATACATACATACATACACTGACTTTTATATATATATGGGGATAGCCATATTTGGGTATTTATTCCATTCACAAAATCAAACGATGACAGAATTGATTGTTGATGACTCTAATACTTGTATATTTTAATACACTGCGTGACATTGAAAATGTAACACCAGGAAATAGTGGCCAGAAAATTATGCAAATTTCAGGGTAGACGCGCCTAACCGAGTTATGCAAATGATGTAAAATGCGCAGCTCTCGTGCGCACATGGAGTAAGATATAAGGGAAGGAACTTGCAGAAAGGACAGTATTTGTGTCGTTATTTCTTCAAGGAAAATCATTGTAGAAATTTTGTTCTTGTGTCAAAAGACACGTGTAATAACAGAGAATGCCAGGTCATCGTAAACGGAGGCAGTTCAAGCAGACAGACGCTTTTACGAGGGGCATGGTGATCGGACTGAAAAGGGCAGGTTGGTCCATACGTCAAATCGCAGCTGATACACACCTTGGTGCGTCCACGGTGCACCGACTGTGGAGAAGATGGTTGGAACAAGGAAATGTGGCAATTTATAGGAATGTCGGTGCAACCAGAGTGACGTCAGCACGTGTGGATCGGCGTATCCTTCGACAAGCAGTGGCGGCTCCACAAGCCACTTGTACCGCCATCCTGCAACATGTGCAAGACACCCTAGATCATTCCATCTCGACCAGAACCATTTCCCGTCGATTGGTTGCTAATGGCTTGCACTCATGCCGTCCGCTAAGAAGACTGCCATTGACCCCACCGAATAGGCGCCAACGTTTGGAATGGTGCCGGGCTAGATCGACGTGGATGACGGAATGGCACGGGGTCGTGTTCTCAGATGAGTCGCGTTTCTGCTTGTCCAGTGATAGTCGCCGTGTACGCGTGTGGCGTCGACGTGGAGAAAGGTCCAATCCGGCAGCAATTGTGGAACGCCCCACCGTGCGACAACGTGGAATCATGGTTTGGGGCGCAATCGCGTATGATTCCAGGTCACCTTTACTTCGTATTCAGGGCACTATGATGGCCCAACGATACGTTGATGATGTGCTGCGACCGGTGACACTCCCCTACCTTCAGGGGGCACCCAATGCCCTTTATCAGCAGGATAACGCCCGACCGCACACTGCTCGCATTAGCCAACAAGCTCTGCAAGATGTACAGATGCTTCCCTGGCCACCGTACTCTCCTGATCTCTCACCAATCGAGCATGTCTGGGACATCATTGGACGCCGTTTGCATGCCTTGCCACAGCCGCGTTCAGAAGACGAACTCTGGCAAATGGTTGAGAGGGAATGGAGAGCCATCCCTCAGGACGCCATCCGTACTCTGATTGACTCTCTACCTAGACGTGTTGATGCGTGCATCGCCGTCCGCGGTGGTCCTACTTGCTACTAATCCGACGCCGTTCTCGCTCTGTATTATGACTATCATTTTGAAATAAAGATCACTTATTGTTCGTCCCTGTCTCTCTCTGTCTGCCGAGTTTCATCACTTTCTGGCCACTATTTCTTGGTGTTCCATTTTCAATGTCACGCAGTGTATGTCACAATGTATATATATATACAGGTAAAATTTTAATAAGGGGATTTAGAAATGACTGTCGTTCTAGATCCGTTTGTAGAACGGGATAATGATCTAGTTCTTAACATACCTCTAGACCATGTAGAAATCTTGTATTTTATAGTCTACTAGACGAATGACCCGGGCAACGCCCGGGATTACCCGATTAAATGTTTTATTCAAACACTCTATGCGTTATAATTATAAATTTGGCGCCGTGGATGTCACTCTTGTGAAACGTCCCGTCCAAACTTTACATGTATATTAGGTCAGCTGATATTACCTCCCATCTTCACCGATAGAGGCGCTTCTCGCGAGCAAAAGGGCAAACTCGACGAATATTCGGGAAAGAGACCTGAAAATTTCACTATAAGTTTTTCCAGATTCTACTCTATATACTGTTAAAATTTCAGTCAGATTAGTTACGATATAAATCTTCAAATCGAGCGAGGGTCTATAAATATTTCGATTTAGATCAACTATTCTAAATATTAAGCGAACTATTATTAAGAAACTTTTTTAGAAGATATCAATTTTAAACGTATTTATAACCTTGATAGAGGGCGCTGTTCGTGAGCTAAGTAGAATAATTTGAATATACAGTTTTAATATTTAATTTATATATAATTTAAAATAGCCTATCGTTTTCCTCGTATTTATTTTTTTTTACCTATGTATGGAAATTTAGGTACTGTAAAAAAAAACTTAGCTTCAATAATATATATAAAAAAAAAAACACCCAGGCTAAGTTTCGAACCAAGGTTGCGGAAATACGAAGCCGTACACCTAACCATTAAGCTACGCTTGGCATAAAAAATATTCGCATGTAAAGCTATTTCAGGCCTTACATATTCCTAACGACCTTTTTGAAATAGGTTTTTGAAACATGGAAATTATAATACTTCAAATAAATAGAAATAGAGTGAACACAAATAAAACATACCAAATATTTCGAATTAGAGCAGGCATTTTAAACGGCGAATTAGATAAGTTATATCTAAAAATGAAAATCTATATATATAAAATTGAATGTCTGTCTGTCTATCTGTTTGTTTGTTTGTTTGTACTCTATAGATTCAAAAACCATACCAAATCGCCGTGAAATTTTGGGATATTATTAGGTATATCACCGGGAAGGTTTTTGAAAAATAATTTCATGAATATCTTGAATAACCTTAGAGTTACTTGCAGATTTGTAGATTTAACTCGCAAGCAGCGCCCCCATTGTGACGATGATAACAAGTTTTCGTATCACTAAGTTTGTTATCTTAAATATTATTTATCAAAAGTAAGATTATCTCAGGATGACACGGCAATGTGACACGGGAAAAAATGTTCACTAGATAAAACTATGATTTTCTATATGATATAAAAAGCCAACAATGAAGAGTGAATCTACTTATATATTTGCCTTATTCTGTCTGTTTGTCTGTTTGAAGCTCACGGATGGGATTTTTCATAACCATCGGTGGTTCAGTGGTAGAATGCTCGCCTGCCACGCGGGCGGCCCGGGTTCGATTCCCGGCCGATGCATTTTTTCTTTTTTTTACAATTTTTAAAACTCATTTATATATTATACAAGAATGACATCCACGGCGCCAATTTATAATTGTAACGAATAGTATTTGAATAAAAGCATTTAATCGGGTATAACCGGGCGTTGCCCGGGTCATTCGTATATAATAATTGTATAAACGAATGCAAGACAAAATCACCGCGAATGTTTCTTTTTTTTAAGGCAATTTCTTTTTAAGGCAATTGTCGTTATTTATCGTTAATTTTTGTTTCGATTTTATTGGAAAAAAACGATATGGTGCCTTTAAAAAATGATCTTTATTACTATGCAGTTTTTTATTTAGTCAATATACCTAAGTTCATGTTGCAAATGTGATTATCTCTATCGATTTAGTAGGTGAAATGCAAAAAGAAAATCGACATGATGAAATATTTATGAAAATTCACATTTTTATTTTTATATTTTCAAGACACACACAGTTTGGGGCGGGACGTTTCACAAGAGAGACATCCACGGCGCCAATTTATAATTGTAACGAATAGTATTTTAATTAAAACATTTTAAAAACACACAGTTTGGAACGGGACGTTTCACAAGAGTGACATCCATGGCGCCAATTTATAATTGTAACGAATAATATTTGAATTAAAACGTTTTTAAAATATATGCGCACTCGGGTAAAACCCGGGCGTTGCCCGGGCCATTCGTCTAGTGTAATATAAAAAGCCAACAATGAAGAATGAATGTAAGATAAAAAGCCAAAAATGAAGAGTGAATGTAATATAAAAAGCCAACAATGAAGAATGAATGTAAGATAAAAAGCCAACAATGAAGAGTGAATGTAAGATAAAAAGCCAACAATGAATAGTAAATGTAATATAAAAAGCCAACAATGAAGAATGAATGTAAGATAAAAAGCCAACAATGAAGAGTAAATATAATATAAAAAGCCAACAATGAAGAATGAATGTAAGATAAAAAGCCAACAATGAAGAGTAAATATAATATAAAAAGCCAACAATGAAGAGTGAATGTAAGATAAAAAGCCAACAATGAAGAGTAAATGTAATATAAAAAGCCAACAGAGTGAATGTAAGATAAAAAGCCAACAATGAAGAATGAATGTAAGATAAAAAGCCAACACTGAATAGTAAATGTAATATAAAAAGCCAACAATGAAGAATGAATGTAAGATAAAAAGCCAACAATGAAGAGTAAATAT